TGGTTGAAGGTGTCGTATGAATGGGTTGGGACCGTTCAATTTTGTTGGGATTGAACCATTCAATTCATGTGTCTGGCTGAATATAAGTGGTGAGCTAATTATTTAGGACGAGACCACCAGTCATGCTCACATAGTCATGCATGCAAAGGGTGGCCATTTGATTCGACCGATTTGGTTGGGTGGAACGGTTCAGCATCTTCATGGCATATTCTCTTTTTTGGCTCGAACCATTCATGTGCTTTATAACCAAACATGTCTATTTTCTGAACGATCCCAACCCATTCATGACCGCCCTTGCAACCAAACGCACCCCAATGCAACCAATCACCCTCTGAGACCCCAGCGAATAAATATCTCATCGGTCGACTTGGTCGACGGCCGCGATAATGACACGACACTCGCACGGACAGCCATATTATTTCCTTGGGTGGAAATATCGACATCTATTCTATTCTATTCTTTCTTTCTTTCTTTTGGAATCACTAATTAACATGTGATGAATAAGGCGTGCACATTTTGGGACTTCACTCTGATCATCAAATTAGACAAATAGTATATAAATTATATGAGTTAAAAATTATACCAATGTTAAGTTTTTTTGGATATAGATTTGACGGCATACCTTTTGTTGAACATAACCACATTTTGTTGGTTAAATTGATGGTCAAACTTGATTCTTCAAATGTGTGTGCACCTTATTCATTAGAATGAACGAAGCATGCACAAAGGTCACCACAACGTGGAAAAAATGTCGGAATGCCGTGCGCCTGTTGCTTGCCATTCGACGCGGAGAGTGCGATGGGTAGTGCAAAAGGTTTTCTTTTGCAAAGGCAATTGTTGTATTTTGAACAAAATACAATAAGGCCTTCTTTGGTTTGGAGGAATTTCATTGGAATTCTATGGGATAAGAATTTTGTAGGAAAAAAATTCTTTGGAGTCCTTTGATTTGTAGGAATGGATTCCAATTCATATGTAGGATAGAAATCAAACATTCACATTTTGAAGGAAAAAAACATTTGCCCAGACTCAATGGAAAAGTTCTTATCATTTACATCGAATGGCATCTTTTTCTCAATAGGAATTGAGACGCATGTCATCACACTTCCTATGATTTTCCTATTCCTGTGATAGGAATCAATTCTTCACATTTTGAAGGAAAATAACATTAGCCTAAACTCAATGAAAAAGTTCTTATCCTTTGCATCAAATGACATATCTTTCTCAATAGTAATTGAGATGCACGTCATCTCAATTTCTATGATTTTTCTATTTCCGTGATATTCCTATCCTATGAACCAAACAGACATGCATCTCAATTCCAATAAGAAAGATTTGTCATTCAATGCGTAAGATAGGATTTTTTTCATTGAGTCTAGATTAATGTTTTCTTTTTCTTTTAATGTGAAGGATTGGGTCCTATCCTACATAAGAATGGGAATCCATTCCTACAAACAAAAGGGCTTTGTAGGATATTTTTTTCTTTGTAAATCCTATCCTATAGAATTCCTACAAAATTCCTATAAACCAAACGAGGCCTAAATTGATTCTCACTGTTGTATTTAACAATATTTATCATGGCATGGTCTTTCTTGCATAAAGAATTTTTTAGAATATATCATTGCACTTTATTTATCATCCCATGCCAAGGACCTCGTCCAAAATAAAATATAAAATACAGTGTGATGGCTCTTGAAGCCAGAACCTATTGAGTTCTTGAGAAACACCCTCTCTAGCTAAAATATGAGCCCCTTTATTACGTGATCTCCTAATTAACCCAAGTTGCTTTAAACTCGATAAAGGATTGCAACATCTTTTTTACATCCTCGATAATTGGGCCCACCATCAAGAGATTCTTCGTCGTATCATTGATCATCGCTGCAACTGCCTTGTTATCAACCTCCACGTCAACCTTTGTAGCTCTTGTTGGGTTGGCATTTGCATCGTCTTTCGACAAGCCAGGGCTTCAACAATTTCAGAGTCAGAGATGCCCCGGAACACGCAGGAACGTGCCTCCCCTAAACGCTCCATGATGCCGGAAAGGATGACAGGCGTGTATTGAATAGAAACAACCATTACTATGACTTACATACAAGAATAAGAAGTTAAAGGCAAATCCGTGATGAAATCAACATTGTTTCCTCTCACATCCAATGGCGGTGCACTGTGAGCAAAGATCATTCCTGCATCTTGGTCTGTCTCACCGGAACAACCTTATTGAAATTCGAGAACTTGTACAAGCAGTGTCGGGAAGTCGGCGATGTCGACGAAAAAACGTCGGTGATCGCAAACTGGATAGATCGTTATCCCAAAGAAGACAACACTTGGGAGGGCTAGAAGAAAATCCCAAATCCGTAGAGATGCAGACCTCACAAGTTCTCCGATTGAGTCTTATTTGACTGACCTTCACGAGGTAGTGATGGAACAATAGAACAAGAACATACAACAATGGCATGTCCTCCACGGGGCACCACTGCCGTGAGCAAACACAAATCAAGCTAGACCGGGTATCTAACGATTCACCAAACATCAACATGGGGAAGACCAAGGAACCATCATTCCCATTGCCGCCACTGCCTCGACTTCACCAAGGGCGAAGAACTCGTCAACCCTTCATGACACGGACCAGATACTCAAATCTGCCTCCCCCATCCCCCTACTACTGCAACAGCCGATAGGGGCCAGGGGAACTCATGGTGGCGCCAACGAGTCGAGTGAAAAGCTAGTCAGCTCCTGGTTGCCTCATCTCTGTCAAACCTTAGAAAAATAGTTCAGCGGGTCGATTTGTTAGTTTGCCTTGTGGTACTTGACAAAACTTTGCTTTTTTCAATGTGAATATTTTGATGCAAACTTTCTAATGGATTTTTTTGTCACACACGTATTACCAAGGTGATGTCTGTAGGAGGCAAAAATAGGTCAAAATACGCTAAACTTTTTGTCTTAGATAAATGCATGTTTTGGCCTAAGTTCTTCTTCAATTATCCGTATGAAAAATAGAAATAGAAGGCAATTGTAGTTTTGAGTAGCTGATATCACATGTGGTATTATGTTTCGGGTGAGTCCATCTTTCCACCTACGGACTTATATTCATCATTTGTAAGAAAGTAGAAGCACTTGTGTTGTGACTCAACATAGCTGGTAGTAGCAGATGCTACACCATATATTACCATGATGCACTTAACATATGTTTGCTAATTTCTGGTGCAATTTACTTTAGTTGATATCGTCCTAGCAAAAGCCCTGAAAACCGCAAGAGCCGGAAACGAGTGAAACTAAAGCGCAAAACCCATGAATGATTAAAGTTAGACATGCACATGGTTTCCTAGGAGGATGACACTTGTTGATCATGTCGCGCTCCCCCAAGCATACATGCTAGATACGTGCTTCTTTTCCGTATGAAAACATGAACAATAAATTGTATTCACTCACCGCTATAATATCATTGGCACAAGAATTGCATGACCAAAGCAAATTGATTCTCTTTCGAACTTCTGCCATGTAATGAGGCTCCAAAGGCGCTTCATATCTTAAATCGTCCATGTGTTTATATCATTTTCTTGCGCATAAGACATTGTGCTTTCCTCGAGGAGTCCGTCCTAGTTTCACCAAGGACGAATAACCTTTCACCTTACGTGACACATACCCGAACACTCAGATTCGGGGTTCCCCAATCCTCCTGCCAACCCAGTGGTTGGCAGAGGCCATTGGAACTCACGACATTGACACATCAAGGGGAATGATTCACCGGGTCGATTTGGTAGTTTGCCTCTTGGCATGATCTCAAATACCAGATACAAACTCTGTTTTTGTTTAAACATCAATATTCGATGCAATCTTCTGGTAACCCCCTCTCTAGCAAACCCTACAGAAATGATTCACCGGGTCGATTTGGTAGTTTGCCTCTTGGCATGATCTCAAATACCCGATACAAACTCTGTTTTTGTTTCAACGTCAATATCCAATGCAATCTTTCTAATGCTTGTTATATTTAGGTGCAATTTACTTGAGTCCATATCGTTCTAGTAAAAGCCGTAAAAACCGAAAGAGCCTCAAATGAGTGAAATTGAAGCACAAACACCTCAAATGAGCAAAGCTAGACATGCGTGGGGTTTCCACAAAGGATGACACACGTCGATCGCACAATGCTCCCGCCAGGCATACCAGCTAGATATGTGCTTATTTTTGGGATGAAACCATGGGCAATAAATTGTACTCACTCGTTGCTATACCATCGTCGGCATAAAGGTTTGCATGAGCGAAGCATACATATTCCCTTTTTTAACTTCTGCCACGCAGCGAGGCTCGACGGGCGACTCCTATTGTATACCGTCCATAGGTTTATGTCCTTCCCTTACGCAAAACGACACAGTGCTTTTTTCGAGGAGTCTGCAAACCGTCCGTCCATGTATACACGCCATATCGTTTGGTGCGAAAAGTTGCCTGCAAACTCGTCCAAAGCCCCTATAGTATATACGTTAATCCTAACTTTGGAGGCGCTCGATGATTTCGTTTTTCTTGCGAGGGTGCTCTATGAAACATTTTACCATGAGGAAATAATAAGAAACCGGCTTTCTATTTTTTTACTGTATTTATGTGTGTGTGTTTTATTGGAAGGACGGGGTTGGCATCAAAATTTCAAAATGTATACAGCCCGGTCGTCCAACCGAAAAATGATGTGCTGGAAACGGAGTAGGAGTGGTGTACTGGTAGCAGGAGGAGGAGTGAGGTCAGATCTACAAGTGGTAGAGTAGCCACAGCCCACAGGCGCATACAGATACAGCCATGCTGCGGTAGCCAGGTCGCGCGCCGCGCACACACAATTGCCAACATATTCCGAGGGGAGGGCGCGGGTGGAAATCCAGATCCCGAAGCCAGGAAATTCCACGCCCCCCGAAAGCCCATAAAACCCACGCTCGCCCTCCCTCCCTCCCTCTGCCTTGCTGCGCCGGACTCCCTCACAGTCACGGAGGCGAAGGCGACGTTTTTCTTCTTCCCTTTTTACCATGGAGGCAACCACCCAGGAGCGCCCCGCGCCGCCGCCGCCGTCGCCGTCGTCGGTGCAGATGCAGCTGCCGCACGCGGCCGCCGACCCGTCCAACCCTTTCCCGACCACCTTCGTGCAGGCCGACACCACCTCCTTCAAGCAGGTCGTGCAGATCCTCACCGGCACCCCGGAGACCGCGGCCGCGGCGGCGGCGGGGGGCGCGGCGGGCGCGCCGGCAGCTAAGCCGGCCCCCACGCCGACCGGGCCCAAGAAGCCGGCCTTCAAGCTCTACGAGCGGCGCGGCAGCATGAAGAGCCTGAAGATGCTCTGCCCGCTCCTCCCCGCCGCCTTCGCCGCCGGCGGCTCCGGTGGCTGCAGCGGGTTCTCCCCGCGGGGGTTCTCGCCGCGCGGGCTGGAGGTGCTGTCGCCCAGCATGCTGGACTTCCCGTCGCTGGCGCTGGGGAGCCCCGTGACGCCGCTCCCGCCGCTGCCGGGGTCGCGGGAGGCAGCCGCGGCCGAGGACCGCGCCATCGCCGAGAAGGGGTTCTACCTCCACCCCTCGCCGCGCGGCAATGCCAGCGGCCGCGGCGACCTGACGCCGCCGCCCAGGCTGCTCCCGCTCTTCCCCTTGCAGTCGCCCACCCGGCAGTGAGCCTCGCCCGCTCCTTGCTGGTATGCTCTGCTCTGCTCTGCTCACCCGGTCGCTGCTAAAATGCTAGGCTCCCGGAGCGCGAGGTCGATTCGATCTGTGGATTATTTGCTCCTCTTCTCTCCCCGGGAGGATCCGTGTATGCCCCTGTGTTGTAATCTTAGTGTCTGTAACAGCGATTTGGCTCATAAGAGGGATTAATTGATCACTCCACCGGCCCGAGTGTTCTTTGTCTCTTTACCATTGGCTATTAGTAGTTTCATACTGGCAGCAGTAGTAGTAGATTTAGCTTGGCATTTTCCTCTTCTCGCTTCGTGAACTTGTCTTGTCATATTACTAGTTTGGTGTTGCAAATCTTGTACATTAAAGCTGTTGGAATTGGGATTTACCATGGGAGGCAAGTGGGACGCCCAAGTTGACATCTTGCAAGGCTGGTAAAATATTCAAAACCTGGACTTGAACTGAGCCTTGCTTGCTCAGGACGGGCTGATTTCTAGAGGACGGCTGCTCCAGTACTCCGTATGAGAGTTAGTGCAAATTCAAAGTATGGTATGCCAGAGGCTGCATTTTTAGCTCCTCTCAGGCATTACAGTAAGTTATTATTCCGTGTCATCATTTTGTCACACACTCGCTGATCAGGGTCAGTTAAGAAGAAGAAACCTGATCTGAGCGGAGGGGCCCCTGTCTCACTTCAGCCTTGTTTCGAGGAAGTGGCAGCTCAAAGCAGGGCACTTTTTCTGAACACCCTTCAATAATTGCCCCCTCTTTCCAACAAAATCTTCCCAAAAATCCCGTTAAAAATCTGGGAACACACACACTGATCTGCTGCATTGGAGGAGAGGCAAAAAATTATAGCCATCTCTGTCTGCATCTTGTTCTTTTTATAATCAAATTCGTCCTGGGGAACTACTACTGCTACTGGTGGTGATGGTGGGAGTGGGAATATGAGACTGATGAAAAGGCAGGGAAGAAAACAATAATAATCCCGGTCGTGGTGAGCTCCACCATTTGCATTGCGGCATTATTAGAAAACTGAATTTGGGGGAAAGGTGCCAGCTTTTGGAGGGAGGGGAAAGGGGGCAAAAATTTTGGAGGGAGAGTGACCCACTTTGGTTTGGCGTTGCCTTGGCTGAGTGAGTTCACTTCCCAGACCACTCATGCATCCATGGGTGGATCATGTAATAACAGTGGGGAGCTGCTCTGGCTTCTGTCAGAAGTTTAGCGTATCTCAGATCTGCCGCCGGCCATGGCCATGGCCACGCTCGCTGCCAGCTGGGGGCCGCCTTGCTGCCAGCTGTTAGACTATGTATAGCTTCTGTACCTATGTACATATATGGTACATATTGTAACACAATCATTATATATAATGAGATAAGCCACCCCTAGAGGGTTGTGCTGGTTTCCCAAAACTTATTGTCCACTGCTGCGGGCTTCCTCCCGGCCTCTCTTGCGGCTCTGCTCAACCTCCCGCTCGATGCCGTCTCTGTTCCGGCTCCGATCGGGACAAGGAGCATCGGCTCCGTCTTCTCCACGCCGCCGGCGCCCTCGCTTGGGCGTGACCTCGTGGTCCACACCGCGGCGCCGCCGTCCGCTGCGGACTCCGCAGGCGTCGTCCCGCCGCTCCTGCCGCAAGCGGATCACACTGCCCCGCTGGCGGGGTTGGCGGCGTCCGCCCCGGCCGCGGGCCTTGCGGCGTCCGCACCGGCCGCGAGCTTTGCGGCGCCCGCCCTGGCTGCGGTCCCGCCTCCTCCCGCATCGGCTTCGGTGCCTCCGGCTGCCTCCATGGTGTTTGCACCCCAGGCAGCCTCCTCGATGGGATTGTCTTCGCCGCCGCCGTTTCACTTCGGTCATCTCATCACCATCAAGCTCTCCGCCGACAACTACATCTTCTGGCGTGCGCAGGTTTTCCCGCTCTTGGGGAGTCACTACCTGCTAGGCTACGTCGACGGATCGCTTCCCTGCCCACCAGCGCTGGTAGACAGCGTGCACGGTCCGGTCTACAACCCGGCCCATCGCGTCTGGACGGGGCAGGACCAGGCGAACCTCTCCTCCATCCAGGGGTCGCTCTCGCCGGCAGTTGCCGGCCTTGTTGTCTTCGCGAAGACGTCTCATGAGGCCTGGACCATCATTGAGCGCACCTTTGCAGCGCAGTCCCAGGCTCGTGTCTCTGCACTCCGTCGTCAGCTTGGAGAGTGTCAGAAGCTTGACTCCACTGCCACTGAGTTCTGCAACAAGGTCAAGGGCCTCGCCGACACATTAGCCTCCATTGGACAGCCCCTCACCGACTCCGAGTTCAACTCGTTTATTGTCAATGGTCTTGATGAGGAGTATGATGCCTTAGTCGAGATCATCAACGAGCGGGGCAACTCGACACCCATGCTGGCACACGAGGTTTTCTCTCGGCTCCTTCTCACTGAGCAACGGGTCGAGACTCGCCGCGCCAGGGGCACTGGCTCCCTCTCGGCCAACGCCGCCACCAAGGGTGGCCGCTCTTCTTCATCACCCCGGTCTCCCTTGGGGCTGCCACCGTCGCCCGCCTCGGCCCCCCCACCTACTGCGACCTTACCGGGGGCTGGCGGTCCACGTGTGTGTCAGCTTTGTGGCCGCGATGGGCACTGGGCCTCCAAGTGTCATAAGCGCTTCCAGCGAAGCTTCCTTGGTCTTGGCAATGACGACAAAGATACACGCAACAATGCCCGTCAGGTCGCCATGGCTGATCGTCCCGCGCCGCAGAAGCAACAGGGACACACTCAGTCCTACTCCATCGATCCACACTGGTACATGGACTCTGGGGCGACAGAGCATCTAACCAGCGAGATGGGGAAGCTTCACACTCGTGAACCCTATCATGGCTCCGACAAGATCCACACCGCCAATGGAGCAGGTATGCACATCTCTCATATTGGTCAAGCATCTCTTCTCACTAGACATGCCAATAGGAGTCTTCAGCTTCGCAATGTTCTTCGATTTCCATCTGTGACCCGTAATCTTCTTTCAGTTCCTAAACTCACACGTGATAATAATGTGCTTTCTGAATTTCACCCTTTTGATCTTTTTATTAAGGATCGGGGCACGAGGGACATTCTTCTTAGTGGGCGGTTGTGCCAGGGCCTCTACCGTCTGGAGCATCCTGGTGTCGCTCGTGTTTTCAGTGGAGTTCGGGTCTCTCCGTCACAGTGGCATGCTCGTCTTGGTCACCCGGCCACACCTATTGTCCGTCATATTTTGCGTCGTCATGAGCTTCCTAGTTTGTCTAGTCATAAAGATGTAGCAGTGTGTGATGCTTGTCAGCAGGGGAAGAGTCATCAACTTCCTTTTCCGGAGTCCAGTCGTGAGGTGAAACATCCTTTAGAACTTGTGTTTTCAGATGTATGGGGTCCTGCTCAGTCTTCTGTCAGTGGTCATAATTACTATATCAGTTTCGTTGATGCTTATAGTCGCTTTACCTGGCTTTACCTTATTAAACGCAAATCTGATGTGTTTGATATTTTTGTTCAGTTTCAAAAACATGTTGAACGTCTTCTCAAGCACAAAATTGTTCATGTCCAGTCAGACTGGGGGGGCGAGTATCGCAACCTCAACTCTTTCTTTCAGTCGCTTGGGATAGCTCATCGTTTAGCATGTCCACATACACATCAGCAGAATGGTTCAGTCGAACGTAAGCATCGTCATATTGTTGAAGCTGGTCTTACTCTTTTGGCCCATGCATCTGTTCCGTTTCGGTTTTGGAGTGATGCTTTCACCACTGCATGCTTTCTCATCAACCGTACTCCTACTCGTGTTTTAAACATGAAGACTCCCATTGAGGTTCTCCTTAATGAACAACTTGATTATACCTTTCTCAAGGTATTTGGGTGTGCTTGCTAGCCGCATCTTCGTCCATATAACAAGCGCAAGCTTGAGTTTCGTTCTAAGAAGTATGTTTTTCTTGGCTATAGCTCTCTTCATAAAGGTTACAAATGTCTTCATGTTCCCACTAATCGTGTCTATATATCTCGGGACGTCGTGTTTGATGAGCATGTTTTTCCCTTTGCCAACCTTCCTGTGTCCACTGTCGAACCACCATCCCTGCATTCATCCTCTGTTGCTTCCGACCAATTTGATGATGTTGCATACTCTCCTTTGCTGTTACCTAACCATGGTGCAGGAACCGGACGTGGAGCTCGTTTGGAGCTGTTGGAGGATTCACCATCATCATTGTCGTCTTCTGGTGGGCACGTTGATCGCCCTATGTTGCATGGCATCGATTCGCGTGCCCATGCATGGTCACCCGACGAGCCCGTCGCGCCGAGCATCTCCACTGCTCGGTCCGTTTCGTCAGCGGCCGCCGAGTCGCCCGCGGCTCGGCCCGTCACGCCGTCTTTGCCTGCGGCTCGGCCCGTCACGCCGTCTTCGCCCGCGGCTCGGGTCCTCACGTCGCCTTCGTCAGCGGATTGGCCCGCGACACCGGCCGCGCCACGGCCCACTATGCCGAGCTCGCCATCGGCCCGGTCTGTGATGCCGGAGTCGCCAGCTGCTTCGTTTGCTCTGCCGGTTTCGCCGGTGGGTCGGCCTTCTTCGCCAACCGAGTCCGAGGCTACCGTGACTGGCTCCTCGTCACCGGCTGACTCGTCAACGTCGCCGTCCTCCAGCCCGTTGCAGGCTGCTCCGTCGACCTCGGTGGTTCCTGTGTCCCGACCACATACACGCAGTCGCAGTGGCATTTTCAAACCTAAGGAACGTAAGGATGGTACGGTTGCTTGGTTGGCTGCTTGTTTGGCTGCTGCTGTTGCGGATCCATCTTCTGAGCCTCGCTCATATCAGGCTGCCCTGCGCATTCCACATTGGCGAGAGGCTATGGAGCAGGAGTTTCATGCTCTTCTTCGTAACAAGACATGGACTCTCGTTCCTCCACCACCACGGGTAAATGTTATTGACTCAAAATGGGTATTCAAACTGAAGAAGCATTCGGATGGATCTATTGAGCGTTACAAAGCGCGACTTGTTGCTCGCGGTTTTCGGCA